TGTGTGTGTGTGTGTATACATATATATATATATATATATTCCCTATACACACACAAATTCCTGAACCTAACTTGGAAAGGTGCTTCGAGGTTTAATCAGAGGAAGAGATTCCTAGACACGAAGGGTCAGAGCAAATGACGAGCCGTTAATGGATTATGAGCTCAAACTCCCAGCTAGGAGAGTGGTGACGACTCATCCGTAGTTGCACTTTGCCATCAAGTGGGACGAGGAGAGCCAAACCAAAGCAACCCAGCAGAACCCTTTGTTTGGATTACTGCAACTTCTGTTTCCTTGTACTCTGAGCCTCTTCCTTTGAACCCAGCAAGACAAACAGGGACTGATTTCCACAATTCAAATAGCCCTTCCTGAAAAATGAACTCATTTCTTAGAAATGTGTGTAAATATCTCCACTGCCTCGGAGCGAGAACTCGTACAAGAAGTTAGTGGGCGCTCAGTATCCCCTTTAAAGATGCGCTTGGGTATCCGGCCACACCACAGCCTTCCCTGGGTGAGTGTTTGAAACTGCTGTTCTTTTTCAGTTTTATCTTATCTGACATGTTTAAGCTGGAGAGAAAACGATCCATAATGTGAGGAGGCAACCTGTGGTGAAGTCTTCATAGCAATCATTTCTATTTATGACCTATTGCTATCAGTGACCAAATTAATCATACTGCATTGCCGGATGATCTTGGTCTATCCAGGACAGCAGGGACAAGGGGACAGTTTGTTGCAGGGTCATCATTTGCATTAACAGGATGACAACTATGGTAACACACTTCTTCCCAGACTCAAGAACCTTGTCTTCAGGGTGTTAAACCCCAGAGACCTGTTAAACACAAGTGTTCTTACCTATCAGGGGTCTGAACAGCCAGAGATCAGCCCATTATCCCCCTGTCCCATCTGGAGGGGTCCCAGGCAGCCCCAGCACCACCCAGCTGCCAAGCTCCTACCACCTGTAGAAATGGCTCCTAGTCTTCCTGCTTTATCCCTCACGTCCCAAATAAGACTGCGTATTGCAACTGTCCACAGAGACCGCAGATAGGGAAGTCCAGGTCATGGAACAGGCCTCTAAGTTACCTACTTCCATGCCCTCTGACCTGTCAGACATGATCCACAACAAGCTGGAGGGGCAGCTGGTCCTGAACGTTTAGCTACTTTTCAGAGCCTGACCTAGGTTCTCACTGTTCTCAGACTGCAAATGTCCTGACGGTCTAAGCTGCTGCACGAGAGAGGGGATTCCTGGTTGTCTTACCATGATGTTGGAGGCTACAACCGTCGGGTCATCACACACGGACTCGATGAAAAATGCCTGGCAGAAGTCAGACAGGGACATTAGAAAATAACAAATACTGTAAACGGCCCACTTTGATATCACCAGGACATTATCATCACCTGGGAGGGGCCTTCGAAATGTGTATGGAGAAACAGAATCAACACTTTGAGTTTCTTTTGGTGTAAAGGAATTTTAAATCCATGCCATTTTTCCATAATACACATTCTCCATGAGCTTTTTGAAGACCCACCATACAAGGAAGGAGGACAACATTCTCCAATTCCAAAAGACGTCACAGAACCCCCTACTCATCCCTCCCCAACAGAGGGATACCCGCCCCTCCCTAACAAGGCAACCCCTACCAATTCTCCCCAAGGAAGGCCCTATTTTTAGGCAGCAGCAGGTAAAGGACCGAGTAGGAATCAGCTGGGCCCAGAGGTTTCTCCCTCTCTGCTGAGCTCACTGGGCCAAGAGGAGAAGCATGGCTCACCTTGAAGTCATTTTCTTTGGTGAAATGAAGGATCATGTGTCTCCTCTCTCTAGTAGTATTGGTGGCATCGAAAACCTAATAGAGGAATGGGCCAGAAAGAAGAATCTAAGTTTGAGTTTAATGATATTTATCCAAACCACCAAGTCAATCAGAGCTGACTCTCTCAGGAATAAGCCCCAAAACGCACTTCCAGGAGAGACTGTGTCCAGGCCACAGGCCTCATGAGGGGTGGATACCGAGGCAGACTTCGCCTCTCCTGCCTCAGCAGTCAGGCACAGCAGGAGAGAGGGGGACGGTCCTCGAAAGCAAGGCACATGCAGGGAGACAGCATGCATGGAAGGGCCACTGTCTGCTGCAGATGGCAGTGACCTGGGCCCTGCCTGTCTTGGAGGTGGCACCAGCTGTCCAGAGAGGTCTGAGTGACAGTTCACACCCCTGCTATGTCCCCAGACGCTGGGCTACTCTAGCCACCCACCTGCCTCAACCCTCAGGCCCAGGGGCCCCTTTTCCAATTTACAGTATCCCCACACTGGCATGTTCAGGCCAGTGAGGACGTGGGAGACCAAGCTGGCAGGATTCCCCAGACTTACTGCAATTTGTCCCCCTTCCTTTGTCAGGTAACTTTTGACATCTCTCAAGGCAGCTAAGGCACACTGCCTGTAACACACAAGAAACAAAAGCAGCACATCATTGTGGGGGCCTCCACGGGTGAGCCCAAGCCCCAAAAGACAAAATAACTGGCCCTTGCTCAGCGCAGGCCAGGCTGGCCAGAACCTTCTTGGGCCCAGCACAGCTACTTCAAACACCCTCGGGAGTGGCTGCTGGTCCCTGGCATGCTGGAATCGTGCCCTGGGGAACTGTTAACAGCCAGGTGCCTCGAGCCCACCCACGGAGCCTCACTGCACTGGGCTGGGGCTGGGTGTGGACTCCCAAGTGCAGCCAGGGTGGACACCTGTGCACTATGATTTCAGGACCACCTCCTGCTAAAGAAGGACTTCTTTTCAAGCGAGAACAGATGATTTCCGGCAGAAAGGACTTTGTAACCTCTGATGAAATGTTGCTGCTGATCTGTTTCACAGCTGCTGAGTTAGACCATCTGCAAACAGATCAAAGCAGCAAATCTCGGAGAGGCTGAGAAGTCTGTCCTAACACTGGCCAACCTGATAGCCATCAGCGGAGAGCCCTACTTCAAGGCCCACTCTCTCTTCCTCTTATGGAAGAGAGACTGAAAGCAAAGCACCGCAAAACACACAGCCCATGAGGCAGCTCCCGTCTTACTTTCGGACTTTCATGGCTTCTTCATTGTCAGGGCGGAAGAAGTTGTAGGAGCTGTACTGCTTCACAGCCTCCCGACGATACTCCCCCACGTTGAACACTGGGGTGGGCAGAAAAGGACAGTGTGGGTGACCAAGAAGAGGAAGCAAGGGGCTGATCAACAGCTGGGGACATGGTCACAATCAAGGAGAAACCAACCAACCACCAGCTACCAACCCCCGATCTGAATACAATATGGAGGCCCACGTTGCCTCCCACTCTCTGAAGTGACAGGGTGGAAGCAGCACAGCCTCCCTTAGACCCAGCCCCACTGCCCAACACTGCCTGCCTCACCCAAGGCTGCTCCTCTCAGTCCAGCCTCCAGTCCTAGCTCATGACATCATGGGCTAGACAGTGAGACTGTGAAAACAGTGAGGTAGGGGACACAAATGTGGCAAAAATGGGGACGATGATTTCTGCCAATAGTGCCCCAAAATGAGTGGGCCTCAGCCCCACTGCCAGGTCTCAATCAGCCATTCTCCTGCAGAAACGGCAGCCAGCAGATGGGGACACATTTAACTGGGCAGAGTGGGGGGGGAAATATAAAAACCAGTCCCCGTTCTCAAGTGGAGAAGCCCATCTAGTTGAGAAACCCAAAGGTGCGTAATAAATGTGGCCAGTGGTACGAAGCGCTTCAGCGCAGTGAGGAGGGGAAGTCACAACTACACACAACGGGAATTCAGAGGGAAAAGATCTATATGGCCAAAGCTGGCTCCATGGAGGTGAAATCTGAGGAAGGAAGTAGGGGGTAGAAAGAGGAGAACTCTCAGTGAGAACAGAAACCAAAAACCCATGAGCACAGTGAGGACACAGCTCAAGTGGGAAGCGGGACCAGACTCGCCAGCAGGCCACAGACCAGCCTGGGCTGTGAGAACCAGCTGGAGATGCAGAGTCAAGTTCTGGCGGATTCAGAACACTGGCCAGCAGGACCGTGGCACTCAGTACAGCCACTGTGGCTTTGGGGTCCGGCCACCAGGACCATGGCACTCGGTATAGGCACTCTGGCTTTGGGGTCCAGCCTCACCTTTTGTTGGGACGCCGATCCAGTTGAGGTAGCGAGTCAACTTCTTAGAGATGTAAGTCTTACCCCGAGCGGGAAGGCCCACCATGACAATCACCGTGGGCGAATTGGTCAGCTTCGGCCCACAGGCTGCAAAGCAAGGGAAAGTGTCACCCGCCAACTGCTCAGGGTCAGAGTTCTACGCCCAATGACAAACTTCAGACAATTTCACTGAAATTTCTATTCCATTCCCCAACCCAGAGCCCCTGGCATGTTACACCACCTAGGGGGTCATAGTTCCGCATTCATCCCTGCAGCATAGTCTCACAATCCGGTTATACAGGCTGAGCATCCCTGACCGGAAATGCCTGGGGCCAGACGTGTTTAAGATTTGGGATTTTTTTTTTGGGGGGGGGAGGTGCTAATATCTGCATATATGTAACAAGTGATCTTGGGGAAGGGACCCAAATCTAAACACGAAGTTCATTTGTTTTTTTCTTTCTTTTTTTTTCTTTTTGACAGAGGCTGCACGAGCTCACCAGAGAAAGACAGAAAGATGGGGAGGAAGGGAGAATGCACCCCCACAATGGGGTGTGGTCACACCACAATCCCATCTCCATTTCTTCATTCTGTCAGGATTTAGGGCACACGTACACATGTGCTCAGTGTTTTCAAACCACCAGGGCCAGGATTCAAATCACAAGGTTGGCCATATGGCGTCTGGCTCCCTTAACCATCTGGACGTGGGGCTGGTACCATTCATGCTTTGTATACACATTGCCTGAAGAGAATTGTATATACCTGTATTGCGGCATTTTGTCTGCGACCACCACATAAGGTGAGCTCTGGAATTCTCCACATTTGACATCATGTCGGCACTCAAAAACATTCAGATTTCGGAACATTTTGGATTCCAGATTTTCCTATTAAGGATGTTCAATCTGGGGACCAGCAGATGGCATAATGGTTACATCCCTGGACTCCCACGTAGTTGACCAAGGCTCAGGTCCTGGACCTGGTGGCTTAAAACTGATGTTGGCCACACGTGCATGCATGCCCAAAACCCCAAGAGAATAGAGGAGAAGAGACTGTGACATGGCCATTCCCCATGGGGGGTGATTTCTCTCTTTCTATCTGTCTCTCCAATGAATACACAAGCCCTTTAGCAAAAATCTCTTTAAAAAGCGGGGGAGGGGAGCCAGCAGGTGGCCTGGTGGTGAAATTTTCCAGAGCTACACTTTTTTTTTTAAGATTTTTGCCGGGACCAGTAGTTGGTATAATGGCTATGTCGCTGGACTCCCTGTAGCTGACTGCAGTTCAAGTCCTGGACTGGGTGGCTTAAACTCACGCCAGGCATGTATGCGTGCGTACCCAAGATCCTGAGAGGAGAATGGAGGAGAAGGGATTGCAGCGTGGCCATCCCCCCTGGGGGGGTGAT